CAGAGTGAACACCGGCGTTTTCAACGTGCTCAGAGATGAAGTGGCCAACCATAACACCGTTACGGGCAACAGCGTCCATCTCAATCTCCTTGGCGTTTTCAATGTACTTGGTGATAACAACAGGGTGCTCACGCGAGACATCGACAGCCTGGTTCAAGTAGCTGGCCAGATCATGCTCGGAATAGACAGTGTTCATAGCAGCACCAGAGAGCACGTATGAGGGACGGACCAGCACGGGGTAGCCGACCTTGTCACAGAAACCGCGGGCCTCATCAATGCTAGTCAGCTCCTTCCAAGCGGGCTGATCAACTCCGATACGATCCAACATGCGGGAGAACTTGTAACGGTTCTCAGCACCATCAATCATCTCGGGGGAGGTACCCAGAATGTTGACATTGAGGCGGTGAAGAGGCAGGGCAATGTTGTTAGGGGTCTGACCACCCATAGACATGATCACACCGCTAGAAGTCTCCAGCTGGTAAATATCCAGAACAGTCTCGAGGTTGATGTTCTCGAAGTAAAGACGATCAGCCTCATCATAATCGGTACTGACAGTCTCCGGGTTGTAGTTGACCATGATAGTCTTGTGACCCTGCTCGCGGAGCGTACGAATGGTACGCACGGAACACCAATCGAATTCGACCGAGGAACCAATACGGTAGACACCAGAACCCAGAACCATGATACCGTGATCGTCGAAAGTCAGATCATGCTGGGAAGCATTGTAGGTAAGGTAGAGGTAGTTGGTCACAGCTGGGAACTCGGCGGCGACGGTATCAATCTGCTTCACGATAGGCGTAATACCAGCCTCAACACGCATGCGGCGAACAGCAAGCTCGTTGGAGTCCAAGAAGTTGGCAAGCTGGCGATCGGAGAAACCGAGCTGCTTGGCCTGGCGGATCATAGGCACAGGCACGGAGGTAGCATTGAAAGTGGACATGGACTTGCCGAAGTCGCTGAGGCCCTTGAGGCGGGTGAGGAACCACTTGTCAATGTTGGTGAGCTTCCAGATGTCATCAACAGTGTAACCGGTGGCCATGGCATTAGCAATGGCAAACAGACGCTGGTCAGAGGGAGTCTGGAGCTCGCCCTTGATGGACATAAGGGCATCGGACTCGTTGAAACCAAGGTTGTGGAAATCAACTGAGCGAATGGCCTTCTGGATAGCTTCCTCGAAGGTTCTGCCAATGCTCATAACTTCACCGACACTCTTCATGGAGGAACCAAGCTGAGTAGACACGCGAGTGAACTTCTTCAGATCCCAACGAGGGATCTTGACCACGCAGTAGTCAAGCGAAGGTTCGAAGCAGGCGCAAGTGGACTTGGTGACCGAGTTCTTGATCTCATTCAGGGGAATACCAAGACCCAACTTGGCAGCAATGAAGGCAAGAGGGTATCCGGTAGCCTTGGAGGCCAGGGCGGAGGATCGAGACAGACGAGCGTTGACCTCAATGATGCAGTACTCCCTTGAGAAGGGGTTGAGGGCATACTGAATGTTACATTCACCGACAACGCCGAGGTGGCGAATGACGTTGACTGCGGTGGTTCGGAGCATGTTGTAGTCCTCGTCTGAGAGGGTCTGGGAAGGAGCCACGACAATGGAGTCACCGGTGTGAATACCAAGGGGATCGAAATTTTCCATGTTGCAGACAGTGATGCAGTTGTCCTGGGCATCACGAACAACCTCGTACTCAATTTCCTTCCAGCCCTTCATACTACGCTCAATCAGAACCTGGGGGCTGACGGCCAGAGCCTTGGTGCAGAGATCCCTGAGCTGATCCATGTTCTCTGCGAAACCACTGCCTAGACCACCAAGAGCATAGGCGGCACGAACAATGACGGGGAAACCAATGTCCTCGACGACGCGCAGGGACTCCTCGATGGTGGAAGCAGAAGCAGACTTAGCGCACTTCTCGTTGATGGAATCCATGCTGCGAGCGAACAGCTCACGATCCTCGGTAGTAATGATAGTATCAATAGGGGTACCGAGAACCTTGACACCGAGCTCTTCGAACTCGTCCTTGAGCTGGATACCGACTGACAGGGCAGTCTGGCCACCGAAAGTGACGTAGATGGCATCGGGACGCTCGTGCTTGATGACCTTGCGGACGAACTCGGCGTTGACGGGCAGGAAGTAAACCTTGTCAGCCAGACCCTTGGAGGTCTGAATGGTGGCAATGTTGGGGTTGATCAAAATGGTGTAGATACCCTCTTCCTTCAAAGCCTTAATGGCTTGACTACCGGAGTAATCGAATTCTCCAGCCTGACCAATGCTGAGACCACCGGAACCAAGAACCAGAACCTTCTTGACCGAGACTCTGGGGGCAGCCAGGATGTTATCGGCCTTGGCGCCGCCGGGGAAAGAGACGGGCAGGTTGAGGGCCTCAGGGGAGGCAATGGTAGACTGGATGGTGTTGATGAACACATCAAACAGGTACTCAGTATCCCGGGGGCCGGGTGTGCTCTCGGGGTGGAATTGAACACTGAAGAAGGGGCGGCTGGTGTGACGAATACCCTCGTTACTGCCATCATTGGCGTTCACAAAGAGCTCTTCCCATCCGTTCTGAAGGCTACTAGCATCCACAGCATAACCGTGGTTCTGAGAAGTGATGTGGCACTTGCCAGAGAGCATGCTTGTGCAGGGGATGTTGTGACCGCGGTTACCGAACTTCATCTTGGTAGTCTGAGCACCGACGGCGCGAGCAATCAACTGGTGACCCAGGCAGATACCGAAGACGGGAGTACGAGCATCCTCGAACATCTTGGCCAGGTTCTTAGTGGTAACGGTCAGAGTCGCGGGATCACCAGGACCGTTCGACACGAACAGACCGTCGAAATCCTTTCCAGCAAGGGTGGGGAAATCGTAGTCCCATGGCACAACCAGAACCTCCACACCGCGAGCAAGCAAACAACGCAGTTGGTTATACTTCATACCGACATCCAAGCACAGGACGCGGACTCCACGGCCCGAGGGGTGTTTGAGGGCGACATCGGCGGGAGGTGTGAATAGGCGAGGTTCGCGAATGGAGACTGTAAGAGAAGAAAAGAAATCATGTCAGAAACCAAGTCCTCGTTTGCTTCTTTCACTGTCATCGGTTTGGTAGGTAACTCACCCTCAGCGACGAGGTTCTTTGTGTTAGGATCCACCCATTCGGTCTCCTCGAAGTGTGACTTCCAGTCGACACCGGCGGTACCATCAACATCGGGGGTAGAGCCGGACTTTTGCAGGAGCATGCGACCCAGCATGCTACCGGTCTGACGAAGACGCTTGGTCAAAGCACGAGTGTCGACACCGTGCATGGCCGGGATGCCCTCGGACTTGAGCCAATCGCCCAGGGAGGACTTGGCCAAGAAGTGTGAGAAATCCTCACCGGCGTAGGATGCCACCACCAGCGCCGCAATGTGAATCTGACTGGATTCGAAGTGTTTGGGCAAGTCCTTCAGGAGCTCACACATCTCATCATGCGAAGGCACACCGTAGTTACCCACGAGCGGGAAAGTGACGACCAAGATTTGGCCGCGGTATGAGGGATCGGTGATGGACTCGGGGTAACCGACCATACCAGTCTGGAAGACCAATTCACCCGAGATGCTCTTTTCAGCACCAAAGTTGTAACCTTGGTACACAGTGCCATCTGCGAGTTCGAGGGCAGCCAACCGGTCTGAGCCACCCCGGACTGGGATGGAGGCTGGCTTGATCACTCCACTGACAGAATCCATGTTGGGTAGGGTCTCTGGGTAACCGACTACACTACCAAGGTGAGGGCTGGTAGGCAGAGCTGGGTCCTCAAGGGCATTGGGAGACATCGTAATTGGTGTGAGGGAACAAGTCCTCTCGAGGGACGATCTAGTGCGAGCAGGTCACTCTAGTTCATCTGCGAGATTTGCTTTGTTTGAATTGCAAGGAGGGAAAAAGACCGCAGAATGGGAGTATAGGTATAAAATAAAGAAAAGAAAGAAAAGAAATTGCTTTGCTGCAACCAGCTGTGGAGGAGGAAGAGAGGAAAAAAAACGAGTTCGGCAGAAAATATTTTCATGCAAAAAGCTTTTTCTGGCCCCACTTTATTCTGTTTTCGGTCAATCAGGTTTACCGCAGAGATTTTCCGAAGTTGGTCTAATTTCTATTATGACTCTTATTGAAAAAAAAAAACATTGTATTGTATATATATGGTGTGTATATGGTCAATTGACAAGTTTGGTGGATTTTATGTAAATTTGAAATTTTTTTTTTCTCTTATACGGAGTATACATGCAGGCTTATTACACATAATGCAATGCACGGGCAGTGGGCCGATAACCGATATCATATATTGATGTGGGCAGTCCACGGGTCCGTATATATATATATATATATATATACACCACATTCAATGTTGTTTATATAATAGAAGAACAGTGTTAGATATAGATTATTCCAAGACATCACTTCTAGCGTTTCATCTCAAAAATAAAGGGGTTGTACAATGCAAATCATCCCTTCTATGTTGCACTTGTGGCGAATCTTTCTGACCTATCGAGTTCTGTTATATGTAGGCATTCTGTATGTACATCCTCTGCACATATATGTAGTGTTGAACAGGATTCATATCCCCCCCCCCAAAAAAAAAACATCAATATCCCTTGAAGTTGAAGGAAACAATACCTCATAGTCTCATAGTTCAAGGATGTAAACATATATCTAGGTAACCTTGGAAAGATTGAAATATAACAAAATAAGCTTACCAGGCTTACAAGGGGGTGAACCGGGGTTATCAGTACAATGACGTGGGTTGATCGTAGTGGAAGCTTAGATTTTCCCACCCCCCCTAACACTATCTTTGGGACTAAATTAATCCCGCTTTGGCCTGGACTTTAAACAAACCTTGAACTTCTTGCTTTGCTTTGCTCTTTTCCTTCTTTCTTTGATTTTTTCGCGTCGCGTTTGACTCCGCAATGCTCTAAACATCCAACCCTCCCAACCACTTCAGTTATGCCGATTTAAGCCCTGAAATTTCCTCGCCATGTTCGCCTCGCTGCTTCGTCCAAAGCGCCATCGCGGGCAGGTCGAGCAGTCCCCATTCTCGACCCCCTCCCCGTGGTTTCGCACTGCGCATAACAACTCGCGACGCGTCCCCCGAGCCGATGAAAGCAGCGACGATGCGCCAGAGCTTCAGGAAATCGATGAAGAGGATATGGACCAGGACTGGGATGAGGAGGAAGAGGAAGAGGATGGACCACTCGAATCTACCCCTCTACTGCCTATGTTCTCTGCGTCGCATTTGGGTACGAAGAAGATCCTTGGTGTACGATGTGTACGGTGGACAATTGACCGATGTGATTAGATGCGCTGCCTGTTTACAACATCACCCACGCGATACGTCCCTTGATAGCTTCCCGCTGTGAGACCACCCTAACATGGGACCAATTACGCTCGCCGCAGGTCTCTCAGTTCTTAATCAAGCCAATCCTGCAAAAGATCATGTCGACCCACTTTTCGCGCGCGACCCTCTATGCATTGATGGCCAATTGTTTGCAATTCGAGAGAGAAGTACACCTAAGTCCAGGGAACAGCGGGGCAAATCAAACACGGGCAATGGTTAGTGAACTGCTAGCGATAAAACTATTGCGGGAATACTCGACCCGAGAGTTGATCGATGCGCTATCCTACGAGTTCTATCCACTCCAGGGCCAGGATCAATCAACAGCACTAGTCACTGGACCCCAGCGGAAACGGGTGGTTGCTGCCCGTGTCTCATGCTTGGAGGTCGCTATTCGCTCGCAGGCCAAGCGGTTCTTGGCCCATCCTGTCGTGGTGCAACAATTAGAGGCTATATGGGCGGGGACGGTTGTCTTTCATTCTGCCGCCGACAGTCTCCATCGTTCTGTGAACATGAACCAAGGTGGAAACCTAGATTATGGGGCAACAATGGATTCCAATGGGGACCTTGCAACCGACTCCGCCAATAAGACACTTAGGCGATCAGTGACAATCTACAACCCTCGGGATGCATCATTATTCAAATTATCGCGGCTGAGAGTGCCGCGCTATCGACAGTTTCTTTCCACCCTATCCTTTGCAGTACTCTTGGGACTGTTCCTGGCTGTTCTGGAACAGCGAAGCCGCAGGATCACATCCCTTGAGATTGTATTCTGGTTTTGGAGTGCCGGATTCATGCTCGATGAAGTTGTTGGGTTCAATGAGCAAGGCTTTAGTCTTTATCTGATGAGCTTTTGGAATCTGTTCGACGTCGGGATTCTGCTATTGCTCTTCGCATACTATTGCCTGAGGATATACGGCACATTCCTGACCTACCCGAGAAGCCAATTCATCGCCGATCAAGCCGTAGGTTTTTCTATCTTTACGAAGGCTCTTCTATTCACGGTATTTGCTAATTCATTTCAGTTTGATGTTCTTACGGCTACAGCTCCCTTGCTTTTTCCGAGGTTGTTCTCCATATTGGATCATTACCGCTACTTCTCCCAACTCCTCATTGCTTTCCGAATAATGGCATCGGATCTGATTGCCGTCTTCGTACTCATCGTCATTTCTTGCTCTGGCTTTTTTGTCTCTTTCTTATACTTTGGAGACAACAAGTCCCCCAAGGTGGTGGCTTATGGTTTGTTCCAGATGCTGATGGGATTTACGCCAACCGCATGGGCAATGTGGGATGAATACAACTTTTTAGGAAGAACGATCCTGACGGTTTTCCTATTCATCTGTCACTTTGTCGTTGTTACTATCTTGATCACGGTTCTGACCAACTCCTTTATGAGAATTGTCCAGAACGCAAATCAAGAACATCAGTTTTTGTTCGCTGTCAATACCATCTCGATGGTTAAGTCTGATGCCTTATTCTCCTATGTGGCACCAACAAACATCATTGCCTGGCTGGTAACACCATTCCGAAATCTGATGCCGTTTCGTGAATTCATTCGGCTCAACCGGACCATTATCAAGATAACTCACTTACCCATATTGTTCACAATTTGCCTCTATGAGAAGACAATCCTCAGTTCTCGAGTCGTTCAGCCGATGGATTTGATCGAACCTACCTCGCAAAATGAAACTCCAGCTCATGACCAGAAATGGCAGCCTAGTCGATTCCGTGGTTTCAGCACCAGTGCATCGGTTTTTAGGCGAGAGCCCTCTGTGGCAACATACCAGAAGGATCGAGCGTTGGAGGAAGTGTTTCGACGCCCATACAGTGAGGATCGAATCCGAGGGCCACCGAGTACTGTGCATGAACGCCAGACCAATAACGTCATCAAAGACTGGATGCAGGAGATTGGCTCTGGACCAGCCAATGGCCCCGATGATGGGGATTCGTTAGTTGTGGACCAACAGGGGATGCACCGGCAACGACCGAAATTTCCATTCCGGACTAGATTGGCCAACCAACCTCGAAACTTTACCGAAACGACCCGATCAGTTGCTTCGAATCCTGAGGACCGAACAAGCTGCGTTACAAGCCCAGTCATACGGCCTCGGCGTACAAGACCCTCTATCTCACCCACTCAGAAACGACACCTCTCCCATCATACAGACATGGAGGGTGATGATGAACTTACCAGCAATGATGGTGACTCAAATGACGACAAGCCCTCGCCCCAAGGGTCCACTGGCGAGACAGCTGACTCGGTTGGAGGCGCAGAGAAACCCTCGCCCAAGTTCTACAGCTCTCGTCCATCTACGGCAAGAATCATCTCGCGTCGCAACAGCCCTACACGTCGTATCAGGCATACGCGGAATGCTTCTGGGATCACCATGCTTTACAATCCCGTTGGATCTCCAAATGAAGAGACAGAAGGCCGCGTCACACCTACACGGCCAGATGCCGATTCCTCCGATGGAGAATCCGTCCCTATCGCGTCTACCTCAGTAGACCAGGGTACCATGAAGCGTCACATTCTAGTTGCACCTCGTTCTAGAAATCCGACAATTGGACTCAATCATATGTCCGTCCCCGAGATGGACAGTGTCTACCTATCTGATCGGCCCACGGGGACACGACCTCGGTCATCCCTTCTCTTCGATCTAGGATCCGACCTAGGCGACAACAAGGCCGTGGCTGGTGGCTTCACCGGTCCCCTTCCGTCTAGTTTCCAGACCCAACTAGGCTTTGCCCCTCCCGTTATTCGTCGTGAAGCCCCAACCCAAACCCAAGACATGCTCAGCAAGTTGGTTCTAGCTCGCATGAACAACATCGAAGAAGGATTCCGTGAGGTGATCAAAGAATTCAAAGATCTCCGCCGCAGTGAGTCCAGTCGCAGTCCAAGCCGACCCGATGAGTCCCGGGGGGCTACACGCGAGAAAAAGAAGCGTGACAAGAAAGACACAAAGAAGAAAAGTATCAACTCGCCCGGAAGTCGGCCTGGCAGTGGTGGAAGCCCACTCAAAGGAAATGGACCCGGTGATGATACCCTGCCATCTACCTAACTGTTTAGTACATTCTGCCTTGTGGTGGTAACACCGTGTAAAAACTCCTGTAAATTCTTTGGGAGGTTTATTTTGCTTTCCGGATATCTGGTTTTGACCTGGCGTGTTGGCTTTTGTTTTGCGATACCAGATACCATCTCATTCGGGGGTAAATAATGGCTTCAACGTTCAATGGATATTCATCAGTCTACACATGAGTACATGACATGTTCATATTCCTGACTTTCTATCCAATTCAATGCTCGATTTCCTAGTGTAGTCCATTCTCTTAGATGCAATGCCCATTAAACGCTTCCTCTGGGCACTTGATATCCCTTTCGAGGCGGGCGGGCAGTATGTCCAAATGTTTCGCCTTGCTCTGTTTGACCAGACTCGCCACCCCGGAACGCCGCTATCTCTTCCTTCGTATTGAGCGTGCCTCGCTGGGGAGCTAGAAGACGGAACATCAGCAATGTACCACTGATGACCCCGAAGACGCTTAGTAGGGCGATATTGCGAGATCTAATTTTCTTGTGTTAAACCAGACGGACATCTACTCATCAGGCAGATACTGACTTCATCGGTTTCCGACCTTGATAAACAGCTTCTGTTATAGTAGCCATGATGGGGTGTAGATCGGGTTGTTTTGGATAGCGCAAGTTGCTTCGAGAAATTCAATTGTTCAAAGTCTCCATATAAAATTCCTGCACTAGATATCTATAGGGGGGGGAAAATAGAATGACATTGACATGACCACATGGTGATTAATAGTATCCGCCACTTCTCGCAGATCTTCCCAAGGTCTCTTCTTCTTGATATCTTGTTCTTTAAAGGTTGCAGTAGTTGTAATAATTGCATTAAATCAATGGATGCGGGAAGTGTGTAGCTTCTATCTTTCTTTCTTGCCCGCCTCCCCCTCCCTCCCCCATCGGCGACTGTTCGAAGATTTATACATGTTCTTTGGGGCTAGGAATTACCGTTGGCTGATGATGCAAGCTGGGGGAGATTTTATGCCAGTACTGCCAAATCATGACTGTAGCAATGGTTGTTGGAATAGCAACCACCCAGTAGAGCCAAAACTTGTTCGACATGCCCCAGCCATTGTCCCCACACTGGAAGAATGACATGCTAAAAATCGACGAGATAAAGGTAGGTGGGAGAAAGGCTAGCGTGACAAATGCGATCGTCTTCATGGCCGAATTATCGATCTGTGCGGCCCGACCTATCTCCACAGAGGTTGCCGCACTAGCCTGGGCGACAGTATTGAAGGCTAGTTGGATCTCGTTCTGAAGCCGTTTCTCGTTGGAGACGGAGCGATGGCGTAGATTTGCGATATAGCCCCGAAAGAATTCTAGTTGATTCCGGATATCTTCGCCTGCGCCGAAGTATGACTCTTTCCGTTTTGGTCTCATGTAGAGAGTATAGTGCTTTAGGATAGTCTCGATATTCTGCACCGAGACATCTAGATTCTCGTTGACATGTATAGCGTGGCGGGCAATGTCATGCATTCTCCTGTAATTCGGTCGTTGGGCTATATCTGGATTCGTCTCTTTTTCAATCGCCCTCACTTGATTACGGATAGCCCAAACGGCGGCCTCTTCGAGATCGGCTATAATCTCGAACACGTGCGAGTATGGCCAGAATGGAATCCTCAATTGAGACTCCGACAGAGTTGAATCTGATAGCGACTCGAGAATTGACTCCTGAACGGACGGTTTCGGATCGAAAAGAAGCAGGAATGTCTGATTAGTGGACGCCACCCATCGGGTGAAGATGTTCAGCTTGGTCCACTGGTACTCCAAATTGCCCTCGATCTGTTTTATTTCGAAATAAGCCCATGTATCTATATCAGTTAGGACTTTTCAGTTCAGGCTCCAGGGCTGGTGTAGTTACTAAAGCCTGTAACAATCCCTGCTTGACGGGTTGTTTCACAACCAAAATATCCATTAGATGTCTTGTAGGCAGTAGACCACCATTTTCCAGGCATCTGAAATGTTTGGATTAATGCATTCCGACATCGCTGGCATGTACGAATCTTGTTTGCGCTTGCGAATCTGTTGACATTAGCGGTGTAGAGGAATATAAGAAATATTCGACTCACATGATGCATATCTGAGCGTCCGGAGTGATGGAGGGTTTTTCGGTGTAATCTGGGCTTTGGAAATATCCAGGATAAGCTTGACTCGGGTGCCAAATCCCATCTAACAGTTTCGTAAGCTTTGATGTTCGGAGCTTTAAGTGGTAAGACAAACCTTGTCCACACTGTGATAGTACCAGACTTGGACATGAACAGCTAATTCCACCCATAGTAAGAGAAATGTGGATTAAAAAGATGAACATTACGAGACACAGCGAGGCTAAGTACTCGGTAGGCACAGCCCCACGGATCCACATCATAGTATGTACTAACTATGTACGTCTCTGCCCAGGTGAGCCCGACTGAAATCGACTCAGCCCGACTTCACCTTCACAAGCCAGCGGATGTCTAGTAAGTATGCCTTTAAAAAAGTTTAGGAAATTTGAAATTTGAACAATATTTGAACTATTCCATGCATTTTTCATTTTCCTACTCTATTTTTTGCGATCAATATGAATATACCAATATACCAATATCTAAAAAGAAGATGTATCTGAGAAGATATAGAAAAGATATAGAAAAGATACCAAGGCCTCCCAATGTTGTTACTTAGCGCACTGGTATATACCTGCCCAGGTGTTTTCCAGGGTTGGTCAGGCAGCAGAGCCTCATTCCCCCATTTCCCCACAGCCTCCCTTCTTCTTCTTCTTCTTCTTCTCCTCCACTTAGTCAACTATTACTATAACATTCCCCATATTCTTTACTTAACTATCACCTTATTCTCTAGTCATCTGCATCCTCATCTCATCTTCTCATAGTGACCTCTTCAAGCTCTATCTAAAATGGAGCTACCTCCCCACCCTCCAGGCCCCACACCTCGGGGAGAAATTGAAACTCTTCTACTCTTACAGCAACAGCAAAATAAACCCGACAGTGACACTACGATCGAATCTGACACGGTCACAAACCCTACAAACACCCCCGATACCCCTACAACGTTCCCAACAAGTCCTATGGATTCTCAGGAATCACTCTTTAACCTAACAGCAATGCCATTTCTACTTCTTCTCCATGGTGCAGATACTCTGGTGTTCATTGACCCTTCTCCGGAGACAATCCGAGCCAGGTCGCCTTTTCCCGCGCAGACTGTTCCTCATCGCATCCACAGTGAGAAATTGTTGGCCACAGGCTCGGCCTACTTCAAACGACTCTTCAATCCACAAATGCAGATCCGGGTCCGAAAGCGACGCAGCTTGACTGGCAAGCTTCCAGATGGGATTCAATACGTCTTGGATCTCACACCCCCAACCCTGGAAGAAGATGCAGTCATATTTCTAACCGAGCTTTCGTGCCCTATGAGCATCAGGACCTGGGCCTCAAAACAGAATATGTGGAGCCTGCCGTGCTCGTGTGTTGGGGGGCAAGATGACTTGGAACCTTTCGAGCACCTTAGTCAATTCTCTACAACATCGCCTGAGCTTGGGGCCAATGGTCATTCCGACCATCTTGAGTCTTTGAGAAATGATCTGATTGAAGCTCCATTTGAACCGCAGGACCATTTTCCGGAATCACGGCCTGAAACAGTAGAGCAGAAAGGCTTGCCAGTGGAATACTCAGCCTGCCGTCATCGTGAAGGCATTGAGCACATTCTCCACGTCCTGGAAGGACTAAACCCTAAAATAGACACTCCTTGCAAGATGTGGACCTTTTTTGCCCTCGCCAAAATATTCGACGTGGCTACAGTGCCGGCCATCTGCGACCACATCATTTCATGGTTCTACGAGCTCAACAACACTCGGTTTATCGAACTCCATCCCGAGGTAGCATATCGAGTGGCATGCGGTATCAGAACCCCCTGCCTTTGCCGAGATGCTTTTGTTGAATTGGTTGGGGATGAAGCACTGCTGTACCTGATTCGGGCCACACGTTTTAAACCAATCGGGTCCATGAAAGACTTGGTACGGAGCCGAATCTCCGATATTCTAGACGACACCGAGGTGCAGCGTATAGAATATGCCAGCAAGAGTTTCGGAGACTACGTTGTTCGGTGCTTCTTACAGTTGACCGGGAGTGAAATGCCCTGGTTGGCGCACATTGTTGAGTTCCAGAAGCTTACCCGCCATGTTCAACTTTATCCTGCAGATCAAGGAATCATACGTCAATTAGTCATGACGCTGAAGGAATTCATTCGAGGCCGCATATACGGGGCTTTGATCAAGGGAAGAGACACAAATCGCTCATTCCATGTGGCTCCAAACTTGGTGAGATCCGAAAACCCATACCACCGATGGGGCATAGACAAGGGATTTGTCCTTCAGCGATTGATTGGGGAAAGCTTCTGGGGGGCGCTAGCATTGCTGGACCTCTATCAAGATGAAGTACCTCGTCTAGAATCTCATTTTTCCATAGCGGAAATCGGTAATGGCTCACTGGCCTTTGGTACCGAAACCGCAGCAAGGATTCGTCAAGTGTCGCCTCGTGAAGTTCGCCAGATGATCCACGTGTTTAACCAAGCGGTTAGAACTAGGGCTCAGGCTCGTCATGAGGAAGAGACTCTGGCCGCGCGACATGCGGGTGGGCATGTTGCGATGGAGGTGACTATTAACGTCCGGAAGTCACAATCCAGAAATGAGGTTGACAGCACCTCCAACGGCTTTTTTCTCAATCCCATTCCTGCTCCCACCCCTAATCCATGTATTCCCCCTGTACCCCCAATGCCACCAAAACCAGACATTTCAGCAGACATGTTCAACGAAAAGACATTCAAGGATGAGGTTCACTCTTTCTTGAGACAATACGCACTAGAGATGTTGCAGCAACCCGGCCCATCCACCATGCGACACGAAGTCACGGATACCCTAACCTGCCTCACATACAATGAATTCCAGTACCTACCTCTATGGGCGGGTGGCAATGACGATGAGACGGGAGGTGTTTTCACCGACTTGATCATTCCTGCCATGGATGTTGGTGGATTCTCAGCTCCCGGTCCCGCCGTGCACATTGGCAGTGTAGCCTCAACCAATGATTCTCTCAGTGAGATTGGGCTTAGTGACGCCCAAAGCACCATTTATGGCGCATCTCACAACGCCACCTACAGTCACGCGTCGGATATCATGTCTGTGGACTCTACCGATTATTCTCAGTTTAAACCCGAAAATCAGAATCATGAGAGCCATGATGACATGCAGTCAGAAGCTTACATGGAGATAACCGAGTATGATGATGAGATATCATCCCTGGATCTTGGTCTAACTACCAACGATGGTGAATACGAAACACAGAGCGATGGTCCCGTTACCGTAGATATGGGTTCGCCCGGGCTTTCTTTTGCTAGTATCTCTGAGAATATCGAAATGGAGAAGGTGGAGAACGAAGATAATGACACCGAGTTCGAATTCGTCGATGTTTAAAATACCCCGTTGGATTTCCTTTTCAATTCTTTTTCTTTTCGACTGGAGTTAAAGAAGCAGAATGTTTGCACAAGAAAGGGCATCGCTCAAAATGGAATTCAAGTCACTTTCTCTCTTTTGCATCTGTACGAACTGCCCAAATACAAGGCATTGAATCTCCCCCAAGGTACTATGTATGTTGTAGGCACATCTATAGTAAAATCCTTCTACCACCTTCATGCTTTTTAAGTCTCCAATTGGTGCTCCAATGAATCGATGCGATGTAACCCCTTTACCCTGCTTCTACCTGACATTCTTCTCATTTTCCCCAGCGCTTCAATGGTGCTAGGATGGTCCTTCCCAAGTATTCTTTCTCGGCGCGCGTGCACCGTCTCCACCAACTCTTTTGCAGCATTCAGCTTGTTCTGCGATTTATATATGGAGCTGAGATTGAGCATGGTAAAGATGGTCTGTGGATGGTCTTTTCCAAGGGTCTCCTCCATTAAACGTAAAGCCCGGGATGTTAAAGATTCAGCGTCACGAAGTAATCCTTGCATATAATATGTCACTGATAGATCGACCATAGCGACCATCATGTGTAGCTGACGATCCATACCAGCCTTGATCATCCTTCTTATTGCCGTTTCTCCAAGATTCTTAGCCTCTCCAAGGCGACCTTGATTTCTAATTGCGGAGCATATGTTACTCATGAACCTAAGAGTCTCTGGATGTGTTTCGCCGTACACAATCTCGCTAGTTCTCACCACCTTCTTTCCGAGATCCTCAGCATCTGACCATCGACGTTGACGTTGATATATAGATGCAAGGTTTGCGAGAGAGGTAAGCGTTAAGGGGTGGTTCTCACCAAAGGATGCTTGACAAGCAGGGATAACCTCTCGTACAAGTTTTTCAGCTAAGTCAAGCTTCCCTTGAACTCGATATATCGAAACGAGGCTTGTTTTCCATCTTAGTAGCGAGTTATGTGTTGGCGATAGTACTTCCTCGCCGAGGTCCACTAGCTGGCGCGCAATCAATTCTCTCTCTTCGTAGCGACCAAGCATTTCATACGAAGTAGCTATGTCATCCATAGTATCCAGCGTTGATAAATGCTTCGGACCAAGCGTCAGCTTCTTCTTCTCGAAAGTCTTTGTATCAAGCTTCCAGGCCTCGACCCAATTTCCCTGGCTCCTGTATGACCGCGCAATGTTGCTCATATTCGTCAGTGTAGAGGGATGATCTATACCGAGCTTTGTATCTTCGATCGCCAGAACTTGCTCTAACAGTTTCACGGCCTCCTCCAATTGGTCACGCTTCCAATAAGTTGACACTAGCTTGTTCATGCTTTCCACAGTTGATGGGTTCTCCGGCCCTAGAGCTCTCTTATTTTTCTCCATTTCTTGGAGTTCTTCGTCCACTTGGTCTTCAGTTACTGGTTTGTTTTCTTCGAGCTGATCATCTGATTTCGAACCCTCGCTCAAGGTTTGACCTCTGTCTATCCCTGGAGATTCCTGATTTGTTGATATAGACTTTAACAATATTCTCGCTTCGTCGTCAATCACCACAACTTGTTGGGACTCGTTTGACTCTTCATCACGGGCTGCTTGTTCATTTTCTTCTGGCTCGGGATAGGGCAGAACAAAAAGAGATATTTGCTGAAGGTGTCGAGCTAGATGCTGCTGAAAGTGACTCGAGTTTGAAATTGGAGGTTTTGTGCACAGGGGACATTGTTGCGCAGAAAATATAGTTCGTTCGGACAGTTCCACCATCGCCTGCTGTTGGTCTTTGGGAAGTACTCCAGCATGAGCATCTTCAAGGTGATTCCGGAAGACAACTTCGGTTTTGAAAGCGCATGAGCATAAATTACAAATCCACTCTCGCCGATGGAATTGACGTTCATGCTCACTCCATTCTGTGTAGCTGTCGTAGAGCTGATTGGCTTTGACGCAGTCTCCGAATGTGCAAATATAGGGCCGTAAGTCGCTGTATACATGATATTCCCAGTCTTCGTCTATATGCTCGAGCTGAATTGTCTGGTGACAGTAGGGGCAGAAAAATGGTTGGTTCTGCATTGTGTTCACCGCGTCTGCCGGCGGCGGTGGCGGCGTTAAGACATGTGCCTGATCACCAGCGGTCGAGGTCGCTGTAGAGAATTTTGTCTGCGCCGAGTCGGATCCGCTATCGTAATCATGATGGTGAATCGTCGAAACGGTAGTATCCTGTGTCAATCTCGTCGAGGTGCTTTGAGTTCCTGTGTCCTTTATTGAGGCCATGGGAACCTCTGTGGCCTTTTGCACGACCACATTAATGTATCTGGAAATCTTTTCTGTGTGATCTTTGTGGTATGCGAGAAGTTGACGGCGTTTTGTGTTTGCTCTTCCAAGGCGTTGAGCAAGCGTACTATCCCGTGGAATGTTGTATTTGTCCGACACATGTTGGATGTCGTAGAATTCGAAATGCCCAAGTTCAATACGCGACGCTTGAGCTGTACGGTCTCGATGTGCTGGGTTCTGGAGGGTCAAGGAGAATTTGTAACTGCATTACATCAGTGACAGTGCTCTTTAGAGCCAGGCAAAGGTAAGTCACAGGCTGGAAATTGTATATTGAATGTCAAGCATATATTCGTCTAGCTTCGAATTCTCGTCGCTATCTGCTTTGATCTGATCCCAAAACCCGTCCGAATCCGAATCATCTACATCCAACTCGTCCACTTCGGAGCCAGCAGGGCCATCGTCAAAAGTGAGGGACTCTTCACTTCCCGAGAAAAAAGAGATCGCTAGGTATAATAAGCAACAATCCAAGAGTTCAAATTCAGGGCATTCAGATACCTCCTTGAATGGCTTCAGTGATATCCCTGATGTGGTTTTGAACCTCTCGATGTAAGTCTGGAGCCTCTCGAAGCCGGTAGTCCGAAGATAACCTGTCTGTATGTTTGCGATGTGCAACGAAATTTCCAGCCCACACCCGTAACATACCATATCATCCTGGACCTTCAGACGGCTTTCACTTTGTTCATCTGGGATGGACTTCAGCAGTGTGTGGAAGTCGCGAATGCATAGCGCGATGAGAGAAGTTGTCGATGTATGTTTCTCTGATTCCATCTTAGACACTTGCCCGAGGCCAAAGGGGATATTAGGTACCCACAGAGAATATATATTGTATAACCCCGAAATCCGTGGAGACAAATTGCCTTGTCTCGTTTGGGCGCGTAAATTATAGCGGGGTCGATGTGCTGTCCAAACATGAAGATGTAGGTAAGCGCCAGCCTCATTCTCTTCAAGATCCCTTTCTTCTCTTTTTCTTTTTTCTTTTTTTCTTTTTCAAGCATTCCCTTGGATCGTCTTTCTTGTCGATGTCTTTCTCAATATGAGTGGCTTCGAGATAGTTGGAGTTGTTCTGGCTGTCTTCCCAATAATTACCCAAGGCCTCAAGTTTTATTCTGAAGGAACGAGCTTAGTCAATGATTTATTTCACTATCAGCATGTTTTAAAACGCATCGGTCGAGGCCTGGCTCGTGAGCAGACCAGCTTTAGAAACTCTTGCAGGCGATTCATGGAGGATGTTGCCAATCAATGCGGAGTTGGAGAAGAAGAGATCGCCGAGATGATGCAAGATCCAACAGACCCCCGGTGGCGGGAAGGAGATCTTGTCAAGGAATATGTCTTCTGTCAAAATTCTGTGCAGCAATATCTAGACACAGTGGAGGATATGAACGAGGAGCTGGCGAAGATCAGGGACTTGACTGCGATAGACGGAGCCAACAGTCAAGTAAGCTTATTACCAATTGGCTTCGCTGCAGAGTCTAACTTCAAATGTTGCGTTTAGGCCAAACCGCTGGATAAAAAGTCCCATCGGCGGCAATGGAAGAAGATGATACTCGTGCTCAAGAAGGATGATATCACCCGGCACCTTGAAGAAGCCGGGCGCCTAAACACCTTTCTAGCGCGACTGACGGAACAAAATCAGCCTATAACCACTACACGTCGTGTTTCACGCAGAAGCACTAAGCACTACGTACGAATCCATGCCCACGCAATTGATCTATATGAGATATTCCAGAACAAGTTTCCAGCATCATCTAGCTGCAATTGCATGCTGCAGCATGACGTGAACATGAAACTAGAATTCCGCAGTGCAAAAACTACCGCAAGGGGCCTCTGTTTCCATGCAATATTCACTTCTAGTATTGTGTTTCCTTCGAGAAATTGGCGAGAGATGGAGATGGAGCCTTGGAAAACGAATGAAAACAAGCTCTGCCAGGACACTGAGCATCATGCCCAAGTGAGATTTGCCGATCCTCCCTCTCCAACGGCATCCATTTATGAAGACATCTCCGACCTGTGCGCAACAATCATAGGGCCATCATCATCACGGGATTGGCTGGGATTCATCACAAGTGAGAAAGGCCGACAGCATCGTATCAGGTCAATGGATTATCATCAAAGGCTACTGGACTTCAAAAGGATTGAGACTGTATCCCTGGCCCAAGTCCTTCGTGATAAGTCATTCCGTCAAGAGCAACGATCTCGGCTTGGGTTAAAGTTAGCATCTTCGGTGATGCAGCTGCATACTACGGATTGGTTGACGGATTTCTGGAGCAAAGATGATATCTTATTCCTTCGTTCATTGGATGGCACGGTTGACTTCGACGGCCCCTTGATTCGACGCAGCTTTGAAACTCGGAATATGGATTTGACTTCTATATCCCAAAATCTTCCAAGGCCATGGTTGAATGCATCGATTCCATGTCTATATTCACTGGGAATCGTTCTTCTAGAGCTTTGGTACCGAGAGATATTTGAGAACCTAAAAAATGAAGCTGAAAGAAAGATGGTATGTATCATCTACAGTCACCTCGCAGAGTTTATCGGTCTGAGTCCACAATCTAGCCACCAGAATTCTCCGACCCTTTGGCAGCGCGACGCCTGGCCAATGAGATGGACTCTGGTCCAAACTTTAAGAACAGTGCCTTACGGTGTATATCTGGCCTAGACGCGCTATACACATCACTGACAGAAGAGAAGTTTCAAAATGAGGTGGAAGAGAAGATTCTCTCTCCTTTGGAAGAAGACTTGAAGTTTTACTGCAACATAAGGTCAATAGAGGATTGTATGTGACGCACTCGGGTTGTGGCTAGCAGGTGCAAGCCCACGTATGTATAAATGAATTGTTTCAAGGATCTAAATGATGTTTGAATACTTTCATACAAAAGACATCAACAACTTCAGGCCTGCCCAGGTGGTGTTGAGGTGGGCTGACTCAGCGGCTTTGCGCGAAATGCCCGCTGGGGTCAGTGCAAGGTACTCCAGATTTCAGAGACCTTACAAACTACCTAGCTTCTATATCTAAGTATTACAAGCGCATCAAAACTGCAGGATTTTGTATCACCTTGACTTACTTTTCTTTTCTGCTACGATCCCTCTCTATTTGAGGTCACGGCCACTGACATCATATCACTATGGCTTCATCCTCCAAGACGAGCTCTTTGCTCTAGTAAGTCTTGCTGTCTGCCATTTGAGCGATGAAAGAAATCATTCCCAGACTAACAATGTAATTAACTTCAGCTCGTGCATCGCGCATCGCACTACTATTCTCGCCGAACACTCCTCACCGGGCAGTTCATCGACCGTCGCCTCGTCACTAGCCTCTATCATCCTCCCAAAGATCACACACGACAAGCCACAAAAGCTCACCTTCACCCATGAACGACTTTTCGTCCATTACATTGCCGACTCTCCAACAGGCAACCAATCCGACGATGGCAACATTGCAGAGCCCAACTCGCACGCCCCCCTGAGCTTCGTGGTAGTTGCATCGGCAGAGCAAGGACGCCGTATCCCATTCGCCTACCTACTAGAAATGAAGCGCAAGTTCTTGGCCACCTATGAACCATCCACAACCGAGTTCGCCTCACTGCCGGCCTACGGCTGCGCTGCCTTCAACAACGAGCTGCGCTCTCTCCTACAAGCCTACAACACCGCCCCGCCAGCAGACTCTCTCGCATCAGCCCGGCGCGAGATTGACAGTGTCCGTGATATAATGACCGAGAATATCGAGCGGGTTCTGGAGCGCGGCGAGCGCATCGATCTGCTGGTTGACAAGACGGATCGGCTTGGCGGGAGTGCGCATGATTTCCGGATCCGTAGCCGGGGACTGCGGAGACGGATGTGGTGGAAGAATACTAAGTTGATGATTATGATAGTGGTCGTTGTTATCTTCTTGCTATATCTGTTCATCGGCATGGGATGTGGACTACCTGCATGGGGGAAGTGTGTTGGACACTAGCGCAGTCTCGGGTGGCTAGTCAACCATTTCAGCGAGCGTGCTTTTTTTTTCTCCAAATATCCAGTTTCTAGGGTTGGTTGCTGCAGTTTCCGACTTTCTCATGAGACACGATGCGAGGGTTATATGCTTTGCTACTTTTTCCGAGTTTGCTCCGTTTTTACTCCTTGGATTATTTTCCTACTCAAATTTGTATATTAAAGCATCTGATTTCTATTGTTTAGGATATCGAAATATGTATATACTATTTAAGACTTGGTGTTCAACCAGTGGGTTTGATATGTCTCACGCTGTCTCTTGTCAGCAGTTGTAAATGATAAATTTATTGTTTATCTGTATGAAATTGATAGTTTATTGGATTAGCCATAAATATTTCCATAGATTGATTAGTTGTCTGGTTGGAATTTACTACTCGTTCTGCTGGGCATGCCGACAAATATATTTCGGATCGAGCCCTTTATATATACTAAAAGTCAAATAACTAGAATCCCCACCGATATTATTAACAAAAGCCGCGATCTTATCCCAGTGTACATATAGACAGCAAAACTACTAGCAGCAAGGGGGCGTCTGGACATCAATGTTGCTCATCTCCTTCATAGCCATTGCAATCTGACGCTTCTAGACGATATACAACCGAAGTATAATAAAATGCCCAAGACAAATATTAGAAAAAGATATTCGAGAGGAAATATTGACGAGAAGAATTAATCAATTGATCATTATCCACACTGAAGATATAGAACAGATTACAGTTTACAGCCTATATACTCTAACTTGGAGTAAGATATGTACCTCACCATCAAACCCACTTCGTCCTTGCCCGAAAGCATCAGAGTGAGTCTGCAGGTAAGACAAAAGCTACCAGCTTCCCAGTAGCCCTGTGAATTGTCTACGCCAAGTGTTTACCTCTTCAACCATAGGCTCCGTCCTAAAAGGCGCGGGATTGACGAGGAGATATATCAGGCGACACATCTAGTTTCCAATAGAAAGGAATTGGAAATAGAAGCGAGTGGAGGAAGGTTGCTACAAAACCGAGCAAGTGAAAAAAAAGAAGTGCTAGGCCGGACGCGCTGCAAACTGGACACGGAACGAAATGCTCTGGATATTGAGCTGTAGCATTCGACGGATGTTCCTATGTGCGCGGGAGACGTAAGGAAGAAGAACGCCGGCTGCGCAAAGTGAACTGCCTTGCGAGCACCGACTCCGGATAGAAGAAAAAGGAAATTTTGTTCATTTTTCATTCATCGCAATGCACCTGGTTTCAGAAACTTTACCCTGATCATAGCAGGCTGGAAACTCCGTTTCTCAGAGTCCTTTAAGTGAACCGCGCCTTCAACCGCCATTGCAACATGAACCTATACCCCACACGTAAGAAATCCCCTAAGCCGACTTGCTCTTGACAGCCTCACGACCCTTGGCGATGCGCTCGATGATCTGCTCACGGTCCTTGTCGAGGTGCAGCTTGGTGATGACAACCTTGGAGGGGTGGAGGGGAATGGGGACACTCTGTCCGTTGCTCTTGTCGCGAACGATCTAAAAGCGCAGTAAGTATCTACCGCAACAACTGTTATGTAAATTCGAATCGTACCTTCTCGACGAAGATGGAGAACTTGAGACGGTAGACGTTGGTGATCTTTCCCTCACGGCCCTTCTGGGAACCTCTGGTAACAACTGCATATAATAATTAATTTCAAGATCTCGAGATAATTCTCGGATGGCATCAAGAATGAAACTCACCGACTTCGTCGTCCTTGCGGATGGGAATGGAGCGGATCTGCCACAAAATGCTGGTTAGAATCGTTGTGTATGGTATTATGCTGGCGCCTGTATTGTCCGTAGTTTCCAATCCCGAAAACTCGACTCGAACAGACCCAGATTCGATTTTGGAGGCTCATGTGGTACATACTCCGTACTTCTCCTTGAGTTCCTTGGAGACGGGGGCGCTGAGGATGACACGGCGCTCGCTGGAGGGGGCCTGGAAGTGTGCCTTGCGAGACTTGCTCCGCGAAGAGGCGATACCTGGAGGAGACACCATCAGTATTGAAAGTTGAAGATTGGCGAAAATTCGTATCGGTAGGGGTTTCGAGCAGTGGTAAATCAAATCGGCGCAAGGCGATATGCGAGAGAGTACGCACCGTGGGTTCGGACAGCCATCTTAAAGGTCGTGAGTGGGAATTGAACGGGTGTCGTTGGCGTTGGTCGAAGAGAGGATCTTTTCTGGTGTAGCCGAATATTCCAAGTTGGAGCCGGATTGTGTGCTTACTAATTTCCCGCTAAGCCATCTCAGGGCTTGCAACTAGACACCTGATTCATAGGGCACCAACTGCCCGTGAAATGATTGGTTGATGACGGGCTCCACATCCGACGCGCTTCTCAATGCGCCTCGACAACATCTGCCCCAGGCCAGCCTATGGTCGCGCTTTGTTCTGGGACTGTGAGAAGTTTACTTTCTTCTTCAGTTTTCGTTTGAATTTGCAAATAATAGTCTATTTGGGTCTATCTATTCAAATCCGGGGGTTCTCTGTTCGGCCGCGATTCAAATCCTCCATGCGCAACGGATTACAACCAAACCTTTTCTTTGCTCGGTCCTACGACATCCCCAGCCATGAGATTACAGCTGTTAGACAGCCACAGCATAATTTGAAATGTCTAGTGGAGGCATAGACGGATTTGATTGGCTCCAGACCTTCCTTCCAGCCGATAGTCAACCCGACCACGACCCTAATTCCAACAATGAGGCTTATCAAACGCATCCGGCATTCCACGATGCGGAGGAGGTGGCTAGAGCGGCTGTTATGCACCAGCAGGCACAGACATCATATTCATTTATGAGGTCAACCCATCCTGCGACGAATTATGCCTTGGGTCCCTCTCAGACATACGCGCAAGCCTCAGGTGGACAGTATGGAGGAAATAAACACCAGCAAACCAGCAATATTCAATTCAACCATCCTATTTCTGGCTACTCTGCATATCCAACAGATCAGTCCCACAGTATGACTCACCGGCCAAATCCCTCTGTTCCGTCCCAACAGCACTCGACTCATGCACATCAGGATGCATATTCCCGCGGCCAAGGTCGTACGGGTATGGATCCCGCTCCTTACCCATGGAGGACTTCCAACTCTACATCGAGCTCCTCAGAGACGTACCAAAGCACCCACAGGGTCTATGAAACTACAGGACCGACGGTCCCTGCACAGAGAACCAACCAACCTATGGCACGGGCTGTGCCCACATCACTAAACTCGTATCAAGGCCACTCGGCACCTCCAAATTCAAACCCCCAGATGTTCACCCAACCGCACATAGCACAAGGGACGACGGCGGAATTTCAAAGAACACGGACGCCGGCTGCATCGCAAAGTCCTTCCTACAGCCACTCTACAATTTCATCCCACAATACTCAACGACCCTCTCATTCCACTACAGCGCAAGGAACCCGACCAACACCCCCAGTTCAAAGAACACACTCAACGGTGGCAAGGCCACAAGCATCGCAAAGACCATATCAAAGCCACTCTACGACCCCAGCCCAGAATACCCAGCAACTATCCGTTTTAGCTGCAGCGCAAAGACCTTGGCCGGGGCCTCCAGTTCAAAAGACACGTACATCGGTGACAAGGCCCCAAGCATCGCAGAGCCCAAATCAAAGTCATTCCAAGATCTCATACCAAAATGTCCAAAGATCATCTCACTCGGATGCACCCCCAAGCTCCCACTCCTCGATAGACACTGAGATCTATACCCCCTTGGTCTCGCCTAAGGGACTCAAAACTTCAGCAGCACGCAGCACACTTGAACCCCGCCAGTCGATCGCACCAGCCACGGGCACTGGGGGGACTTCCAATCCGTCAACACAGGGCCCAGCTACCAATTTTGCCAGATCAAACCCAACTCCGACCGGGCCTTTACTTGACAATCAAGATCAAGTGCCGTCAGCCGTGCCAACAGCGCCCGATAGGGTCCACAGCCCTGAAAAATCACACCCTGTCTCAACTCGCAGTCCTTCTGTCTCTTTTACTCCTGTCTCTGCCTCCGCCCCTCCGGCTCCCCCTGCACAGACAACTATTGCCCCGCATAATTTGGACAAGGATTGGAGTGGGGGAAAAGGGGGGAATCAGGGAAAAGCAGCACCTAATTCATTCTACCAGGCATCAAGCCAGCAGCTTCCGATATCCCAACCGAATGGGCAGAGCACACCAGCGGTATCCTCAGCCTTTGCGTCATTCACTCCCCCTGCGGCCTCTGACTCGGGGCTTGCTTATAACTCCTCGCATAACTCGGGGCCTCGACGAGGTACCTTCTCTGACTCGTCCGTGGCACAACAGCCTGTTGCGGAGAATACACAGTCGCAGGTTCACCCACTGCCGGGACAATTCCACCATCAAAATAAGCGGTGGGTTCCGGCCACAGAGAATTCGAATGATTACATGCCACCCACAAAGATACGACAGTTGGACAATGGTAGAACTCAAACAATGACTCCCCCGAACTACCCATCAGCAGGTACTTCGGTACCAGGGTCCCAAGTTTCTATCGATTATGCTCGGCCTCGAGGCCCTGGTAAAATCCTTAAGAATCGTGACGACCTAGTCCAGCCGATAAGACAGAGCGATGCACTGCCTAAGCACTCCTATGATCCCGCCACGATCGCGCGGGATGTATTGATTGCTGTGGGAAGACACCCTAGGGAGAAGCATCTAAATCATCATCTTGAAGCACTACGCCGTAATTTTACCAGAATCGACAACAATGCAGACTTGGCTACGTTTCGCTGGGACTTGGTGGACGCCAAGCAGCCTGAAACCCAAGTCAACCGCATGCCCCCGATTCCTGCACCCTACATGCCACCTCCTCACCCTGAACCACCGCAGGCAACTTGGCAATCACTTTCACGTGACCCAGCTTCCACACCAAACCACGTGATTACACGTGATTACGCTCCGATGCCGTCGCGTGACACACCGCCAAATCGCCAAGGCGCAATGCCAGAACGGATCGACGCGCGCCCCCCTCCTGGCGGTTTGAGCCCTTGGGGTACCTTGCCTTTCAAACCCCCAACTTATCATACTTCTCAACACATTTTTTCTTCAAACTTGCCGTCTGGACTTCCCAGGATCGACCCCGTGCCTGCATCACCGAAGTTGTCATCCCATCAATCCGTCCCCTTCTCAATCCCCCCTGCGCCGCAACCTCAACCTCAACCTCAACCTCAACCCCAACCCCAACCCCAACAGCGACGACCCTCGACCACGAACAGTGTAGCTCCGCCCAAACCCTCGCCTGCCAACAAACAAGCGACCCCCAAATTTATAGCAAAGCCTCAACCTCAAGAGCAGACGGTCAAGAGCCAGCCAGACTCTGGTCGGACTGTCAAATCCCCAGAGGCAAGGCGTCTTCCCCAGCCGCAGGTTGTTATTCCACTTTCACCGGCCAAGATGCCCGCGAAGAAGAAACCCGGCCGACCTTTCAAGGACTCAGCGAACAGACCCGATCGACCTCTCAAGAACCCAGCGAACAGTATTGAAGTTGCGATCCACCGTGACCAGCCAGTGCACTATCAAATCTTCCCATGCAAATGGGAGGGGTGCGCTGCCGAACTTCACAACCTTGACTCGGTTCGAGCCCATCTCATCAAAGTTCACATCCCGCATTCTCTTGTTTGCAAATGGAAAGTCTGTGGCAACAAGACGCCAATGGCTGCCGCCGACATGTTTATGCATCTGGGGCGCGAGCACGTTTCTCAAATGGCTTGGGAGTTTGGGGATGGACCAACGGTGCCGGTAACTGGTGAGAATCAAAACTAGATTGCGCTTGAGGCTCCTTACAGGGGCTAGTCTACACACGAAGTTCATTTTTTATTTTGAAGAAAATGTCTAATCGGATGAATGTTCTAGCGGAAAACCAAACAAATCACCCTTCCGTTCTGGGTGACCGCAGTGCTCGCAAAGGGACTATGGTTTTGCCGGTGGATGAGCTCCAGGTCAAGGCCTTTAGCAAGGCCCATGGGAAATCCACGGAGAAAACCAAGGCCCAAGCCCTACTCGAAGCGGGACGACACTGGAAGCAACAGGTTGGGCCTGAAATGGATTGGAGCGATCGCCGTCTGTCGACGCCCGCTCGACAGAGCAAAGTTCATTGTGGGGAGATGGCATTTGTTGAGGAGAATTGATGGGGCTAATTGACTCTTGTGATACCCTTGTCCCATATTCTTTCTCGGATTCAGTTCATCGCAGGGAGACTGGCTTTGCATGGGGACAGGCGTTGAAAGCCTATCATAATATGCTATCTTGCTATGGCAGGCAGGTCTCACAATATTTTGCACCTGGATGACACCCCGAGAGATTCTGGTTTTATCTATGAGATCTATACGGTGAATTCCCCAGGAACTACCCCAAGTTCAAATTCCTCGAAGAGCATTGATGAATAAAGCCATGAGATTGGTAATGATTGCCTTTCTCTCCAATTGATTGGACTGTAGTGTACAATTGGCTTGTGCCTGACTCGCTGGTATCTTGGTTTCCGGTTGGATTCTTGTCTTCCTTCTCTCCCACGTGTCGCAAATCGAATTTAATTCCCCTTCCCTGAAGCTGGCGAATTGTCTGTGGACACCGCTGGTACAGTTGCCTCGGCCTTAATTTGGCTTGTTGATTCGGCAGACTCTGGTTCCTCCTCGCTGGAATTGACATCGAGGAAGTGGTATAGGACAATCATCATCATGGCGCAGGAGCCAAGGAAGATGGCGAGGCGGTAGAGGTCGTCGTCGGAGATCATTTTGAAAGGAGGCAAAAAAACCGACGTGAATAGTCACAAGCGACAGGAGACAATGCGTTAAGGGATGGGCGATATAATCGGAGAAGACACGTCGGCCAGTAGTTCGAGTGACGCTGCACGGTGTAGTTGTGTAATGACGGATGTGCCCAAAGCAGTATTTGGGAGGGCTCTCTCTTTCAACGAATTGAACGGATTGAGAGGATTGAGAAGAAGAGAGTTAACGAGAGGGAGATGCGAGGGAGTGTAGTGTTGGAATATGTTGATAAGGTGGAGATGAGAGAGAGAGAGAGAGAGAGAGAGAGAGAGAGAGAGAGCTATCGGGTATGTTGTACGTACACCGTACACAATACACGCAGTACACGTTATACGCTACTGTGTAATGTATTTGGTACATTGTAAACTGCTTGCATCAAGGTACATAACTATGTACTGTGGTACTTTGGCACGTACTTTTGTCTCTCTCTTCTTTACTTTTCTTAATCTTCTTCAGGGAATATGCTTGATCTCTCTAGGGAGTACGGAGTAATATGCACAACATTAGCATTACCCTACATATGTGAAAGAGAGAAGAAGTTCCCGTTTAACAGGTGCTTAACTGCGTATTGCGAATTACCGTCCGGGATTGGAACATTGGAACATTGGCACATCGGCACATTGCAACATTGCAACATCTTCATCCCCCCCCTCTTCTTTTCCCCTCTATTCGTCCTTATCAGTCAATTCTACTTTCTCGATTTAGCCATCTCCTATATGCATCTTTCTTCACTATGACCGACTTACAGGCTCCTTCTGGGTCTAGACCGGGCCCCGCATTATTAGCCTGTCTTCAGTGCCGTCACAAACATCTCAAATGCGATGGCAGGACTCCCGTATGCAGCCGATGTGAACAGACCCGATTATCTTGCGAATATACCAAGTCTCGGAGAGGCTACAAGGGCCCATCGAAAAAGCGCCGCGCTGACTCTCCGGATTACTTGCCCATGGATCCTAACCCGGTAGGCATGCTCGATGTCCCCGTGGATTGGACCTTGCAGGCTGGCTTCACTTATGCGCCAACCATGCCATTGCCCTCCACCACATCGACCAGTCCTGGAATACACGGTCTTTCGACGCCAATTGCTCCATCCGCTCGCCCGATCAGCGGACCGTTGACTCCGGATTCTTCCTCTGCTATCGGCGGGGATGGCTACCTGCTCGATATCTACTATAATTATTTCCATGCCGCCCATCCAATCCTGCCACCCCACCGACTCCTATACCGCAGCGTATTGCCCACATACCTGGAGCAGGTAATGAAGTTCATCGGTGCCCACTTCACCCCGGCCGCCTCGAGTCACACGTACCGGTCAACGGTTGTCCCATTGGTCCAGGAACAAAATGTCTCGGTGGAAAAGGTGCAGGCACTGCTTCTGCTGGCGATTGTACTTCACTCAGACAATGAGCGCGGCGAGGCCGGCGTTTGTCTAGCCGCTGCAGTAGATTCAGCCTTTGAGCTTGGCATGCATCAAGGGACGTTTGCGACCCTTGCAAGCAATGGGGATCCAATCCGCGCAGAGTCTCTGCGGCGCACCTGGTGGGAGCTATTCGTTATCGAGGGTCTCATGACTGCCCTCGGTGTGCAGCGCGTGTACCGAACTAACCAAGTACCGCTCGAGGTCCCACTTCCGTGCGAGGAGCGGATTTATCATGATGCCCTACCGCCGCCACCGTCCCCGACCATTGCACAATTTGACGAGCGCGTATTTGCGGAAGAAGAGCGTGACTTCTCCTCATATTGTTATCGTATTGAATCCATACGGATTCTCGGTCGTGTGGTGGCAATGCAGGATATGACCGAAGGCCAGCAGGACCACGTGGAAGCTCTTGATGCGCGCATTGGTAGTTGGGGCCACCACTTGCCAGAGTCTAAGGAAGAACTCTTGCGACCTGACGGGAGTGTAGATGAGATCATGTTCCAGGCGACCATGATGTTGAACGGCGCAGCCATCTACCTCAATTTCCCACGATCTGATCTTCTTTCATCCCCCGCTGTTGCCGCAGAAGTCATCTGTGGCCACCATGGACCGATCAGTGTGCCCGCATTCTCCCACAACGAGCATGCCATGAAGGCAGCCAAGGCCGCCCGTGAGCTGTCCCGCCTTGCTGCCTTCCGTCTGCCCGTTATCAAGCACACCCCGTTTTTCATTTGTGCTCTCACGCTGAGCTCCATTGTCCAGCTGGCCACCTGCTCTGTCAAAGCCGGTCAAATGCCAGATCCCAGCCGCGACCGTCTGGCGTTGACCATCGGGGTCTTCAAGTCGTTGGCTCGCACCTGGGCCATTTCCCAGTCGATCATGCGGCAGATCAAAGCCGTTGCACGAGATGTGATGGATTTAGGACTGCGTCCGACAATGGACTCGCTGGATCTGACCACGGTGTTGGATAACAGTCAGTTTTGGGTGGATCAGAGCCCGAGCTGAAGAAAGAAGATGTGACTTACCTCTCCCATCCTTTCCAACCAAGCGTTACAAACTGTCTCCGATATTCGCGACTTCCCGACAATTGTTGAAGCAAGTCAAGAGCGTGCTCCGGGCCCAGCGTGTCCACCGACCTTTGATCAAAGGGTTGTGTTCACCGCCTCCACCAACCCCCCTTGCAGGGCTCTGGCGCCCCCTTTGGGGCCTGAGCAGACCGAAGTCCGGAGTATAAAATAGATTTGTCCGATTCCTGTCCGATTCTTGACTGGGTTACCTAGAGGGAAACGGTATGGTTTTCTACCGGTATCTAGCTTTGTATATATCAAACAGACCATTTGATTATCCTTACCTGTATAGACTCGCAAAGGTAGTCCCGGACTGAGACTAATGGCTTTATCTCTGTTTCTCTACGAGATGAACTTGCTAGGATTCATGAGGGAGTATGCAAATTGTTGCCATTACCTGAACTACTTATTGAAATATAGAACATATAAGAAACATGAAGGCCAGTAATCATATACCCCTTCTTGTCCATGAATTCACCCCAAACCAGGAAAATACAGGACTATTTGTACTCACGGAGATACTTCAACCGCTTAATAGCAAGAGAAAAATCCTCATCAGTAGTGACTGTAGTTGCACGTCTGCCACCAGGAATGGCAGCCATCATTTCCTTGGCTTGCTTCAACTCCGAATTCAAGACTTCTTTGAGATTGAAGTGCTCATGTTCAATCGTACGCGCTTGCAGCGTACCTAAATTAGAGACTTGATTAGCAACGGTGGTCAGAAGGTAGAGCGCATAGTCTTACGATCGACTTTGGCAAGGTGCTTATTGGCCTGAACGATTGCACCCCAGAGAGCACAAACTTCAGCCACTTTTCCAAAGGTATCGTTGCGGACCCAGCCCAGAAGACCATTAAGGAGGTCGGCCTCTGGTGAAGTATTAGTTCTCGTCATAGGATAGAGGATTGAGGAGTAATAGAGAAAGAGAGAAAGACATAACTACCTTTGGACTCCCTAGATAGCCGGTAGAGAGTGGGTATCTCGGCTGACATGCGCTCGTAATTCATTTTTTGCCGAGATGATAAGTCAAAGACACTATAGAAAGAGGGTGTTATGAAAGGAAATGGGTAAGAGAAGAGAAAGGGTGTTATATAGACCAACATAAGAGTATAGAAATCCCAGTAGCACCAATGTTTTTGACTTTTAAATCCATAGAGTCATTGGTTATTTGAATTATCTGATCCAGTCAATCTGTTCAGAGAAAGCAGGCCTTGGGATTTGAACAAAGCGACCAAGTCGAAGTATACAAGATCTATTTTGAGAACAAAGAATTTGCCCACAGAACGTGTCAACATCCCCCCAATCTCGACATTCACGCCAACGCCGAGTTATTTGACTTTGCAGAGCCTTGGGAATATGCGAGACGAGGACAAAGAAAATCCAAACCTGCCAGACCTGAAATGGCTGGTTGAGATAGACCGGGGAAGAACAAAGAGAATGCTGACTCGACTCTTCAAAGCTGATCACCGTAGAAGAAAAATAGAGAGAAGCGCAAAAGGAGAATAATTCCCTCTTCTTCAACATTCATTCGATATCTTCTGAATCAGTCCTCCTAGTGGGTTTGCTTGAAATGGCCGCTGAAAATACTCCCCCGGATTTCGTGAATCGTATGGAAAAGGTTCCAGCGCCATATCTGAGTGAGCAATATGGCTACAGCAAAGACGGTGGGTTAAACAGAATCCGGGATTCACTGAAAGACAAGAAACTGACAGATATTGGCAGGACTGTCTTGCGCAATGATTGCCTGGATGCTGGACCTTAATGTCAGAGCAGCCATCAAGAAGCGCGAGTTCCAACGCACATATCAAAGGATGTGTCTTTACATCAAGCACATGGAGCGTACGTTTGTTAGAACCCTGAAAATCCAGAGGGTCAAGACTGATATCAATACATAGGCCTCATGGACCAAGCCAACATCAAATATGACGCCTACACCGGTGCGGAAGACGGTCGAAGAATGAAAATAGCCAGAGAGACCTTCAAGCCTCAGTTGAAGGCCAGGTTCATGACTACAGCACCGTATCCAGTCACCGCTCCCATCAGTACCGATGGAGAGCTCTGCAGGAGCGTCTCGGATGCACAGACATTTGAATACAAGCTTCACCAGTTGGAAATCCTTAGGTATATGGAGAGGATTGACGGACCAGCATTGACTGATTTCGAGACGAGTACGAGGCAGCCCAGACCCGAGACAGGGTAAATGTGTGCGCATGTTTGAGCAGACCTTTGATGATCTTCAGTTCGGATAATTGAGATGATTAGATCAATGCTTCTCTTTGCAGTGGCTCTCTGTGGAGGTTAGGGTTTGTCGTTTAACTGCGCCAGCTATGCTGCTTTGTAAATCCCTCATTTGTGTGTCGAAAACGAAAGACATGATTCAAATCAACTTTTTCTCCCTTGTATGATTTCGATCCCGGGTGTAGAATCGGAGTTTCCAAGAGAAATCAAGAGCCCTGGAGTGAGTCATATTAGACACTCTAGGGCCGTGTAAAGGATACATAATAATGCACAAGAGTAATAATGCTGGAAAAAGATTTTGATTTCATTCAACTCTAACAGTGCTGCCGCCCAATTGTAAAATCCAGGGGTATCTCAAATGCTGGGTTGGTGGTGTATCAGACGAGCAATAAAAACATCGCGGGCTATGTCAACAAGTGCTTTCACAGAACAAAGGAATAATGAGGGAAATAGCGCCAGGCAATGAAAAAAGACCAGAAAAGCCAAAACTCCTTGCCTTATGCTCAGGTCGTATCGGCATTGCATGAAAAATGAAGGGGGGAAATGAATGAAAGGGAATAACGAGAAATTCCATATCAGGAAAGGGTCTAGTTGCCTGCACCGCTGCTCAATTCACGCATTTCTTGCAGGGCAACAGCACGACGTGCAACGACATCTTCGCGGCGGACCACATTGCGCAGTGCTTCACTGGCTTGAATTAGTCCGTCGATACTGATCGCGTGGTTGGTCATTTGGTGGTTGATGTATGTATAGAGTGCCGCCGGTGTTGAGCAGGTCGTCAACAATTGCTGCTCGTTGAGCTTGAGCAGCGCGAGAGCAACTTGAAACAGGAACGTGCTCCCACCTCCACTGCCAGAGGCAAGATTTTCGGCAACCTTGGCAGTTTTGTCATTACTCTCCTTAGTACTAGAGGAATTTGACCCAGAGGCATTGACTGCGCTTGTCACATTAAGACATAGAACCACGTCCCATACACGATACAGCGCCTCGGCGGAGAGACAGTCTGTAAAAACAGAGAGGAACCACTGGAAGGTGAGTGCCTCTAGTTCAATGCCCAATTCCTCCAAGTGGGCAGAGAGCTTGGGAAGCAGCTCTGAGATATACTGGCGCAAGACTACCTGATCAGCCCGGGAGGCGAGCAAGCCATGGTCGTAGTAGTGCTGGGGCAAAATAATCTCGATCATCGAGGTCAGAATCCAAAACGCGTCCTCGGCAGTCGGCATTATAAGCAGCAAAGACCCTGCGATGAGGTTCATGCCCTGACAGTAGCCTACTTCTGGGTTACGGCGTGAGTACGCAAGCAGGACCTCTTTCAGCTTGCCGACACCGGGCCCTTTGCGGAAGAAGACATTATCGGTAAGAGTGCGGCGTATATCCATGTCAATTTGTGCGACGACGGAAGGGTCGGGGTCCGATCCACCAACACCATGCACAAGGTCATCATAGTAGCCAGGAATACGCATTGCCGAAGCCCCGCTGCATTCCGACCAAGTTTTGGCGCGAAGAGCAACTGGGATGCCACCGAGTACGAGTAGCCGGAATTCTCGCCACTTTGCTCGGCCAACCTTGCCTTTGTTACCCAGGCCCGCGATGCCTACAACTTCACCGTCGGCGAGCGAGACTTCTGGCGTGGCAACGGCTGCAAGAGATCGATCGGAAGTTGCGGCAGCGGCTGCCGCTTCGCCCTCCTTTCGACGTTCAGCACGCACTTTGCGAAGAAACTCATTCCATCTCACGGTTCGATCACGTTGCAATGAATCATGCAGATCAGTCAACTGTTCTAATAACAGTTTTACGGGCTCCATCTCTGCGACAGTGAATCTGGAGGCCGTGTCTTTGAGCTGATCCGAAGACAAGCCTGAAAATTCCGGGCTGTCGGCCGTGATAGCCGATGTAGACGCCGATGGTTGTGCGCTGGAGCCGACGGCCAACGCCCCGTCTTTGTCATATGAAACAGACGAGCTATGAGATCGATTTTCTCCTGCAGTGGTCAAAGAGACAATCGGGCCTGCGGAGGGCGTGTGGGACAATAGCTCCGTGGGGCGCGACGGAATCCTCAAATAGTCCTGCCAGCGACGGATGGCAACAGCTCCGCTGTCAGGGTCATCTGGTGAATCAGGCAGAGAACGCGAGGCCTCGGATGCGCCCTGGCGAAGTTTTGTGATTTCGGGGTCATCCTCATGATCTGATGCATCCGTTCGTAGAGTACCAAGAGTTTCAGTTATACTCAAACGGTGAATGCTGCTCTTGGTTGTATTGGCTTCTCTCTGACGCTTCTTTCTATGTTGATCATAGATGAAACCGAACCTGTCGGTGAGGAACTCGCCCGGCTGAGAATTGTTATAAATAGGGGTGAGCGTCGGAGGCTTCGACTCCATGGGCAAAATGGCGTCCATCTCGACAGGTCCAAGATTTGTGGAGCCTCTATCCGTGGTCTCTGACGCCACACCTTGAGACACGCTCCCAGCTGCAGCCCGTCGCGAGGCGGGAGGGTTCATTTTGCCCTGAACGCTCGATCCACTGGCAGATCGTCCAGTAGTAGACATACCGACATTACTGTTGATCTTCTTCAGTGCGGCCACTGCCGACATTGAACCCTTAGAATTTCCAGACAGTGTAGACGAAGCACTTCTGTCTCCGTCCGGCCTTTGGGGTTTGGTCTTATTGTGGATAGACTCGGCATCACTAGCTTCTCTGCTCGACTGAGGATTGCCAGCGAATAACTTAACAGTCCATGAACCGAGAGATCGTGAAGATTTTCGAGAATGAATGCTTGCATCGTCGCCATTCCCGGACGTGCTGGCAATGCGCTGCGCCAGTCCGTTTCGTGCTGGGCCATCTGGAGGCTGAAATAGCTGCTCATCAAGCGCTTTGCGTCGCATTGCAGGGTTGCTAGGCACTCGGGGACGCTCGGCCTCTTCTTCCCCAAGTTCACCAACATCGCTCATAATGCTACTGGCCCGACTCGTTTTCCGGCTTGTATTGGTCGAGCCAAAAAGGTACTCCTGCCAGCCCCGAATCGAGCTTTGACGCCTCCGGTTGTCAGTGGCTCCGCTGCTTCGGGAATCATTGTCTGACCGCTGGGCACGAATAGTGGCCTGGGCTTCTGCTGCACCACCATGAGCCCGAGAGCCAACGGTGTCTTCCATAGCTTGAGACATCAATCCATTCAGACCGGAATGAGTCTGATTAGCATAATCGCTGCTATGAGTACTTTCTGCATCCGAGACACGATCGCCTGGCGGGTTCTCCAACTGATATAGTCGACGTTCAATGTCTTGGTTAGACACAGACACGTCTCGTAGCATTCTCTTCAGCTCTCGCTCCCTTGCATCTGCGCGTTGGCGGAGGGCCGAGATCTCAGCGTCCCTTTGAGCCAGATCACGAGCAAACTGCCGCACCATTTTCACTGCTCCTGTTCCAGCAACCAGCCGCTCAATGTGCGCATCATCGGCCAAATGCAAAGCGCCTGGGATATCATGTGTGGGGACAGAATCGGCGAAGAGGGCAGCTCGGCCTGATTTGTGCGATGGCCCAGTTGTCAAATTTGCTAGCGTGGCTTTCCGCCCACGGCCAGTCCCACCTCCATTTGATTCCTCTCCATTTTCGCCGGAGAACAATGTATTCGTCAGGCCACGGGCGAGGGTTGGGGATTTGTCTGGTGGTGAAAGCGAGGGGAACGAGGTCAAATCAGTTGTTGTGTGGGAGGAACCGGAATGGCGTTTTTGCATTTTGGTGCGCACGATTTTAGCATTTCGACTTCTGCTCGAGGCGGTTGACGCTTGGGATGAGGAACGCCGCTGGGAGTGGAAGTCAGAATCTGCCATGACTCAACAACCGGGCAATGGCGTGGACGGTGGAATCGTTGATTAATGGCTTCATGAAGGCTTTTCTTAGAGCTTTCGGAGCTGGGGGAATTGGAAATGATGTCCGGGCTAGGGAGACAAAATATTCAACTAGTTTAAGTAACTTCTGACACTCGGCTCGTCTTGTCGTGCCTGGCGATCCTTGCTGTAGTGATCCGTGGATGGAATGAAGGGAGATCGACCGTGATTTTCAGGGGCGGACACGGATTTCAACCCTGGATACCCTATTTTAGGACCAAGAAAGGCATGAGAAAACAAAGAGCACAGATTTGGGTTGTTCTGAAACCCACAAAGACAGCTTTGATAGTTACCCTGTGGCACATGACGTGACCCGATAACATGTCATGTGACTTGAATGCTTATATCCCCTTGCACGTGACCGTCATGTCATGCTGGTCCTTATGCCCTGCCGTAGCCCTGGAGCCTCGGCTCTCCGCATAACCGACATAGTGGGGAAAGCTGATGAGCTGTTATAACTACAAAGCTGCCGCAATTGAAGCGGTCTTTCTAGCCCGTTAAATTCAATTTTTTTAATTGACAGATCTTTACAATCACTCATAGCTAAACAATTATGTCTGCTGCAGCAAAGCAACGCCTTCAGGCCCTGAGCAAGCAGCTCGTTGAGGGCATTCCCTCCGAGGGCACGTTCGAGGACATCCCTAAGATCCGTCATGTTGCCGACGATTCGGCAGGACCGTAAGTAGTCTCAAAGCTTATAGCTCTTTTTCAGTTCAGTCAGCTTCTCGGGTTGTATACATTGCAAGATTAGATGTATAACTAACGCCTGAAGCTACAGCCGGGTTAAGGACAAGGTAGTAATCGTGACTGGTAAGTTCTATCCCCCAACGCCATTTCAGGTGCTTTCAAAAGCACCATACCAATTAAATCACAGGCGCAAACTCTCCCAATGGCATCGGCCGCGCCAGCGCGCACCAATTCGCCAACAATGGCGCCAAAGCAGTCTACATCTGCGACTTCAGCGACACCCATCTGGCAACGCACAAGCGGGAGCTAGAGTCCCTCTACCCAAATGTAGACATTCACGTGCGGTCATTTGATGCAGCCGACGAAAAAGCCCTGAGCACAGTCATCGACGAAGCAGTCAGCAAATACGGCCGACTAGACGTCTTCTTCGCGAACGCGGGTGTGGTAGGTCAACCGAAGCTGTTCACAGAGATCGACGGTGAGGGATTCCTAAACACGATGCGAGTAAATGCGCTCGGGTACGTACATCCATCCCTGAAACAAGACAAACATAACTCTTCGAGATGCAAACCAATCTAATAAACCTTGACAAATAGCGTCTTCCTAGCAGCTAAACACGCGGCCCCAGCAATGAAGATAACATCTGCCTCAAAGCCATACCCAGGCGGCTCAATCATCGGCACAGCGTCTGTAGCAGGTCTCCGCTCCAACGCCGGTTCAACTGACTACTCCGCCTCAAAGGCAGCAGTTGTATCGATCGCGCAGACGGTCTCATACCAGCTCGCTGGGACGGGTATCCGCATGAACGCGATCTGCCCCGGGCTGATTGAGACAGGGATGACGCAGTCGGTATTTGACCGGGCGCGGGAGCGCGGCACGGAGCGCAAGGTCGGACAATTGAACCCGCTACAACGGGGTGCCGTTGCTGATGAGGTCGCACGTGTTGCGCTGTTCCTTGGTAGTGATGAGAGTAGCTATGTTAATGGACAGGCTTGGGCGGTTTGCGGTGGGTTGAGTGCTGGGCATCCTGTTGTGCCAGGCAAGTTGGCTTGAAATGGGGTCGAAGGCATTGGGTTGCATTTGAGTGATGTACATAGTTCATGATTAGCAGACGAATCCTAAAAAGATTTGACTTAAAGCCTTTCGAAGTTGGTAGGCTACAATGTGTTTAACTTGCGGCGATTGAGAAAAGTTCAAATTCACAGAATCCATTTTTAAGGCGACAGGGAGCTATATAAACCCTGGTAAATCGGATCAATCCAGATCAAGGACTGTATATAAATAGGAAATATCATCCGCAAACAGTGCGGATGGCGGTGCAAAGTGGAGGGCTCTCTCTTCGAGATAAGCGCAAATCAAACAAATCAAGCCGTTCCATCCCAGACGGCACGACATATAGTAAATAAACGGATTCCTCGGGGGGAGGACAGGGCAAAATGAAAGGGGGGAAAATGAGAGAGAAAAATATAACAAGTCCCGGGGAAGGCAAAAATGACCATAAATTATTGGACAAGAAAACACACAAATGGTCGGGTGGATATAATGAAGATCAAAAATAATCAACACGACGAAAAATGAGAAATACGCCAGACAACCAGAGCGTATGTGCGTATTCAGGATACTGCACAGATGAAGGAAAAAAGAAAAAGGGGACAAGGCCTCGCCAGACAGAAGGAGAAGAAGGAATGGACAGAGAAGAGAAGAAAAAACACAAACAATATCGTCTCAGTCATCTAACCTGAAAAGCTGATGGAAAATCTAGATAACCCGTGTGGGAGTGGGCCGCATGAGATCCTCGCTATTCTGCTTGGACAGAGTGCCACGCTCAGTTTGCTGGTCGTCAACGTTCTCAGTCTCGTGGGCGTGCTCGTCGTCATCCTCAACGATCCGGGTCGGGATATCACCGGGGCCGTACTGCTGACTTGACCGCTCAGGGAAAGTCGAGCTGCTGATCATGGACATAGACGTGCTGGAGCGGTTGTGGACTAGCTCTGGGGTCGGAGGGATGCTAGAGTGGCGGTTGTCCGGGTGGAGAGAGCTGTTGTCAGCGTCGCTCATCTCGCTAGGAGCGCGGGTGGAGCGGCCATCCATGTTGTCGTAGTCGGAGCCGAGACGGTCGTTCTGGTGGAGCTTGGAGTTCTCGGCCTCTTCCTCGTCCTCGGCGTCCTGGGCCAGGTGCAGGCCTTCGACGGCGGCGGCACACTGGTCGCTGATGCTGCGGATAATATCTGCGATGGCATCGGTCTTGTCGCGCAGGTAGCGGTCTGCGACATCTGTGATGCTGAGGCGCGCAAGGGTCTTGTGATCATTTCCGAGGTTCAGCAAATGCTGCTCTAGCTCGGGCTTCATATCATTTACCAGAGTATTATGACCATTGACATCCATAGCCGTCCTGATAGATTCCTTCGACTCAGCGACTGACACATCCTCCTTGAGCTCCTCAGGAGCGTCTTCATAGCCCTGCTCGACCATTTCAGTAATCTCTGACCTGCTGCCAATGGAGCGGACGATGTGCTCCATGTGGTGGCTCTGGCCGTTGATGAGGCTGCGCAGGTGCATGACAACGCGCTGGGCATCTTCGCGCTCACGGGCGAGAGTCGCATTAGTGTGGGAGAGGGCAGAGATCTCCTTCTGGTTACGCTTGCGCTCACGCTCAAGCTCCTCGGCAATCTCCTGCTGGAGGACCAGTGCCTCGAGAGCATCATCACGCTGCTTCTCAGTACCAGACAGGCGCAGAGTAAGGCGAACCACATCGTCCTTCTGTTGGTCAATAAGACCAGTGAGGCGACGGCTCTCGCGCTTGTGGGTTTCGATCTTGACCTTGAGCTCCGAGGTCTCCTTGGTGAGCTGCTCAGCAAAGGCCTGGAACTTCAGGAACTGTTGCTTCCAGGTCTCGAGCTCCTCGACCAAGAAGTTATTGCGCTTGGTGACCTTGCTGAGCTCGGTGTCCATTCTGCCCTTGAGGTTGATGAAATCTTGCCAAGCCTCCATGGCATCCCGAGAGTACTGGTTGCGCTCACGGACAATCTCATTGAGGTGACGCATGGAAACCTTGGTCATGAGGGGCTTCTTGACGGAGCCACCGAAGATGGCCTTCATACCGGTGTTGCGGCCCTGATAGATAGAAGGTTAGTTTTGATTCTGGTTAGTGATAATTGAGGGGCGATTGAACATACCAGTTTCTCGCATACATGGTCCATGACGCCCATGACAGCATCCTGGTTCCACCATTGGGGCTCTTCGATGCTTTCGACCTCTCCTCGCATGACGATGATCTGACCAGCCGGGATGAGCTTGCCGCCAGCGTAGGCGGTGCGCAAGTGCGGGGGGACACCGGAAGGCGAGACATCACCATTCAGGGATTGGGTCATGCGGTTGATAAACTTGGTGCGTTGGCCCTGGTTCAACACATTGGGCGGGCTGGAGGTGAGGACAAAGTTGCGATCGAGGTCGACCACGAGGGCATCGGACGGGGCGTTAAACAAAGTCCGGCACTCGGCAGTAATACCCAGGATGTAAGGGCCAGGCTCCTGGACCAACTCCTTGACGTGACGGGCGTGAACCACGGGCACGTACAGACCACTCCACTCGTAGACACGAACGCAGTAGCGAATGGTTTCCGCAGCGACAGTCAACATCGCCGGGTAGTGGCTGACGAAAATGATGCGGCGGGTGGGTGAGACAGCAGCCTCGATCACGCCGACAATGTTGGGGATCGAGAGACAAGTGAACAATGGCCACATGGCAAAGTTCTGGAAGCCAGTGGGCGACGAGGGGAACTGATAGCACAGGGCATAATCCTTCATGTCAATGCGGACCAAGTCGTTAAGACGCGGGGCAGGGAAGCTAAGGATGCGAGAGACCTCCTCAGCGTGGAACAGGTTTGTGGCCTTGTTCCAGTGGATCCACATGCCACGGAGGTAGTCACCTAGCAGATCGTAGAGGGGATACCGGGACAGGAAGCTCAAGCAGTAAGGAATCCAGTAGGTCTCATCGGGGTTATCGTAGAAGTCCGGCTCCGTCTTCTTGCGTAGCTCGCGGATGGTCTCCGCGCGCTTCTCGTCGGCACGGGACCAAACGCGCAGCGCGATACCGTACAGAGTGTGAGAAGAGTCTTGTTGCAAGACGAACGCGTGGTGTGCACAGTGAGGCTGGCTCTTGCCAGTGCAAATCTCGACGTCGTGAGGGAAGCATGCTCGCATGGCCGAGTGTAGAGCCCTTGCGATCTCATTATCCTGCTCTAGTCGAGGGCTGCTTCCCAGAATCTCGGGGAGCCAGAATTGTCCGACGGCTCCCTTCATGTGGCCAATCTTGCCCTGGGCGGGGGCAGGCGCTTTGACCCATTGTGAAGGTTCGCGGCCAACACCACATACCATGTAAGCATGAGTGAGTGTTTTCGGTGTCCGCTGAGCGGGCTTAATGCTGAGTGTGGACGGGATAGGTTGAGTGATGCGCGAGTGCAATGACGACGTGCGGCTAGGAACGACCAGCGAATTTTCTCCTTCGCCGCGTGTCGTAGGCCGATCCCGAGTGGATGGCCGGACGAAAGACCCATGATCTCGCAGAGAATGGACCATTGTTGCGATGTAGATTTATATATGAGGGGGTTGTTTTGAGTATGTCGAGTTCAAGAGTATGTCGAGTTGGAGAGTCCGGGGTTGGAATTCCTTGGGGATATAGGAATGTAGGAATTGAAGCACTGCTTGAGTGCAGTTCGGAAATGAGGGTTTACCCAAGGTCAAGGAAAGTCGGGGAGATATTAGAGAGAGTGTGAGAAGCCCGGGTGAAACTTCAATAATACTCAAAGACTCGAGAACACACCCGCCATATGCATACAACTTATTTGAAAAACAGAAACCCAAGAAAGAGGAGGGTTTAGGGGGAAGGACAAATAGGAGAAGAAGCAGAATCGAGGGAATTAAAGACCAAGGAGTTTTCTCCACTTTAATTAGCCGTACGGTATTTTGGTTACGGTATTGTATTTATTGTTTCATCTTTTTTTCAACTTTTCTTTCTTTTTCATCTTTTTGGTCTTTATCTTGTTCTTCAGGGTTTTTTATATAATATGATTCTCAGTATTCAAAGAGATAGACATGATATATCCAATACCCGTTGGCAAAGTTAGGTTTCGCCTATTCTGATCTATTCGTTTCACTTTGCTTTGACCAAACTTTACTGAATTACAATTTATATCCTCTCCCTCTCCCTAGATAATCTGCAGTGCCACCATATATATATATGCAAGTTTCTATGTTTCGCCTGCGAGCAGCTAGGAGACTCCAACCACTTCACTTCATTTGACAAATATATCCAGATATCCCTACGGTGTCGATCATCTGATTTCATTTGAGGCCGTCAAAAGAAAATCCAAAGATCTTGAGGCATGGATATCCCGTCTGGTTACCCGTCCGAACTGGGTGAACCCTTTACCTGATTGGTTCCCCTGGCCAGTCCCCATCGGTTCGATCTCCCAACCTTGGTTGTACGAATCTGACCCCCTGAATGATCCATTTTAATGTTACCGACTCCATACGGAGTATATAGGTAGGTATAACCTTGCCCATTTCCAAGGTTGACATGGAAAAACAAGAATACACTACCTATGTTGTAGGTACGTGCAATATATAATAAGGTAGATATACCATGTCTCCCCTTCCCTATTTCCCCATTTCCCCATTTCCCATAAATTCTACTTGACTCGTGTTATCCCGTCAAAGCGGGCAAGCTAAGCTACTAAGCCGACCGAGCTACTCAGTCTGGCAGTTTCGGCGGAGATCTCATTTTCCGGATGAGCCCCTCACGCACGATTTTGCAAGGTTCTGGATCCATGTGGTAAGGAACCACTACTCCGTACCTGTATGTTGTATATACATGGTAAAACGGTCGACATCGATTTGAGACCGCACATGGGAGAACCCTATGGAGGTTGGGATAAATACAAAAGTCGTACAACATAGGGTCACTGGTGAACACCCTCATTCTATACAATGTACAATGTACAAAGTATCAATACGATGCTAGTACTTTATTTTATGTACTCCGTACTTGACTCACGTATATAAATATAAACTCGGAGAATTCTTAGGTCCGAGATTATAGAGCATGTTTCTTTGTTCTGTGTTGTAAGCAAGTTAATTTACAATCTGATTTTTTTAATCTCTCCCCTCGAAATATTTCGTTATCTACAACAATTGTTGCTTGTAGATAGATATCCAATGCCTGCCTCTCTACTCCGTACATTGTACTCCGTACATACATAGCATTAGAGAAACCTCATGCAAGCTTAATTAATAGTGCTTACTCCATAGGGATTACGGAGTACTCCGTACTTTGTGTATAAAATATCTCCTGGAATTCCTCCGAAGCCTTTCCAGAATCCTCTTTACTCTAAGCCTCATTTGGATCCCTGGCCTGTCGATCCACAACCCGATCCACCCAGTGTTTCGCGCAAGGACCCACAACACAGCTCTCCCCAGCAAAATCAGAGTACCAATAGGCGTCGTACCCGGTACCTTAGTTTATGCAACCGGAACCCGCATGGCCCGAGGTATCCGGTACACTGCGTCTATGTACCTGGTGGCAAGAGAGTTTAATCTCGAGAATGGAGTTTGGTATATATGTTACACTGAGGTCAATGAATGTTATAGAATTAGGATATTGCACAATATAATTGATTTCTGTGGGGGATCAATAGCTTCGCTAGTCTGACCGTTGTGTATTATTATTATCCGCGATAGGGGTAGAGCGAGGTACATATGTACCAAGTATGGAGTAGCATTAATATATATTTCCCTACTTTATTTAAAATCATGCCTGTCTGTTGAAGAAGATCTATAAAAAGATACCGGATGTAATTCCTTTATTGTACCGAGTACTCCGTACTCCGTACTTCGTGCTATATATACGCCTAAAAATACAGTTAGAAGACATGTTAAGTTATGCGGAGTATAATTCTAGATACCATCCAAGTTCCGCCGAGGAGATCATACATCGAATGTCCCAGAAAGCCTAAGAAAAGATGTACACCATACCAGCACGGTCGACGCTCACAACCATACCATACGGCACACGCAAAACCGCCACATCTTGGATAATATCCAAATGGCTCTTCAATAACATCTGCTGCTGCAGGCTGATGACGGTACTACGCGGCGGCCTCGGGCTGGCTCCCTTCCTGGTATCTCGAGAGCTGCCGGTGTTGGACGAACTGGGGAGGTGCTCGGTGGTAACCAGCAGACTGGGGCCGGGTTGGGACTGCTCATAGTGTGGCTTGCCACTGGCACTGCCATCCGAGACGACGTCTAGCCCGCTGACTATCGAGGAGAGATCCGGCCGAGCCAGATCCCAGAACCGGATCTTCCGGTCGCATCCCGCGGAAATGATGTACCCACATTTCGTGTTAGAGTCTTTGTCTTCGCCAGGGGCATTGAGGCCGACCGCAAACGCCCATATGCCGAGTCGATCACCGGCTGGATTATTGGAAGATGGGGTACCTGGTTCAGGGCCGTTTGTTGCAAAGCGGCTCAGCATCCCTTCTGGCCGATCCCCATCGACCCGCCAAGCTTCATAATCACTCGGCACGACAAGGGTCGGGTAGGCGTGAGGGGCGCGGGAAGGATGATGAGCGCCATTGGGGCCATTGTTGCCAACACCCAGTGGGGTCGCTCGGTAAACCTCGCGACAGCGGAACTTCTCGATATCCCAGACTGTGATTTCATTGCCGTGGCTGCCGCTGCTGGATACACAGACCCAGCGCCCGCGGGCCTTGACGGGATGTAGCTGGATCCGGTTGATGGTACCCCAGCCTGGAAGACCCCATGCCTTCAACCGTACGCGGAACCGGAGATCCCACAGATCGAGGATCCCATGAGTTGTGCCAACCAGTAGCCAGTGGTGTCTGCGGTCGCAACAGAATGTAGTCAGAGTGCCATGGTGAACTGGATTTTCTAGTGTGTAGATCGGCAGCATGGTTTTCATGTCCAACGCAATGATGCGACAAGTGTTGGTCGCAATAATCAAGGTGGACTGCCCTTCGTCGCGGAAGTGCTCCATCCAGACCGCGTATTCGGGTGATCCGTCTTCGGCTATGGGAAGCTGATATTCGCGAACAATTTGAAGCTTGCCGTATCGAACAGCCGTCTGACTGACTTTCTGATAGTCGACTCGAACGGCATGGATGCTGCCATCGGTAGCTGCGCTGACAAAAGTGTAGGTATTCTCAACAAAGGTCAAAGCCTTTACACGCGAGCCTGTTGCATGACGGTGTGTTTGACGGGATCGAGGGGTCAAGTTCCTTTCAAGACGAGTTGTGTCCCAAATCTTCACCGTGCTATCATCGGATGCGGTAGCAAAGAAGGAGTGATCTGGTGCTACTACGACACGATTGATTGGCGCACTGTGCTCACCAAAAGTCGCGACTAGATTCCCTTCGGGCTTCCAGATCTTACTTGGCTCTTGATCAGTGGCGCTGCGAATCGGTTGGCGGGTGTCAACATCTTTGACATATGGCCCTAGGTCAAATAGGTCTGTCGGGTAGTTTTCTTCAAAGACATTGTCTAGCAGTCGCAGAACCGCAGGGTCGTTGCCCCCATACGAATGGTTTGCACGATATTTCTGCGACATTATTTGGGTCGTTTTGTGCTCGTTTGAGAGCAATGGTGTCAATGGTCGGGGTGTGCCTCCTCTTTGGACCGGTGCGTCTACCTTTCCAAAGGCATTTGCGGAGCTCGTGCCCGTTTCAGCGTAGGCTTTGGCGGTATCTTTGCGACTCAACAAACTCATCGCGCTAGACTTTTTGTGTACACGATCGGATAGACTTTTGGTGTCGGTGTTATTTGGTGTCAATGAACCATCTTGTCTAGGGCTCGGTCGACGACTGGAAAGCCTTTGATCCTTATCAAAGTTCGGAGGGGACAATGGACGAGACGAAGGTCCTCCGGCAGGCGACGACGCCACTGGAGATGATGATAATGAAGAAGTGTCATTTCCGTCTAGGATAGGAACATGCGAGGCGCGTCTTGTCTCTTTCGAAAGTTGGCTTTTCGACCGTAGGTGCTTGCGCTGAGCACTGGGCATTCGTTCAATGGTTGTAGAAGCGTCAAGCAGAGCATCTGCGATCGTTCTCGGTCTTGGATCCTCGACGTTGCCATCGTTCACATCCAAGGACATTGCCCGCGACTGATCTTTAATTTCCTTATCAAAGAACACAGTCTGGGGCTTGACACCATGTTGGGTCAAACTAACAATGTCGTTCAAGGGTGGGGTTGCATGGACATCGGTTTCTCTCGATTGTCGCAATGAGACCCTCCAAATGTAGTCTTTGAGTGCGAGAAGCTTGAATTCGTCCTCAGGGCCCATCCCAAGGTTTCGCAACCGACCAAGCCATTGTTCGTCCTCGTCATTCCTTGATTGAGAGGCCATATTATAGGAAGGATTCCGTTGACCTACTCGGGGACTGAACGATCCAGGCTCAGACAAGCTGAACATGCCCTCGCGATTGGGCGACTTCCAGAAAACACCTTTCTCTGATTTGGAAGCCCAGAGGAATGCCATTTCGTACACACTTCTCGACATTGGC